AAAAGGAAACAGGTAGAGTGATTTGCCTTATGGAGCTTACAGTCTAGTTTGGGGAAACAAAAAACAAATGAGTACATACCTAGTGTAAGAGGTGGTAAAAACACCTTGGGAAAAAAAAATAAGCAAGGAAAGCAGACAGAGTCTGTGTGGGGTGGTGGGATTGGGAATTAACTAAGGTAGAGGATGACACCTGAGCCAGGAATGAAGGAGGTGGGGGATCAAGCCAAGTAGATATCTCAAGAAGAACCTTCCAGACAAAGGAAGTAATATGTGTAAAAGCCCTGAGATGGGAACAAACCTGTCAGAAATCATGCACAGACATACTTAAGAGACAGAGATTTTCTGAGCCTCAAATGACCTCACAGAGACCACAGACTCATTCACCCCAGTCTTAAAAGAATCTATGCCACTGTCTTTGGCCTGGGTTAATGGTAGGTCTATGGCAGTGATGATCCTGGTTCTAGATCCATCATTGGCATCATCTCCAACCTCCAACATGTAGGCGAATTTAACACTGTGGGATCAGTCCCCAAGTCTGCTAAAGTTCCCATCTAGCAGGGCAAAACTGGGAAGAAAAATCAGACATCCATTTGGCCACTGATATGCCCATTAAAATTGCCATGCAGTCTGGAGCCTCAGTTAATCCTTGGGATTGACAGACTCAGGACTGAAGTTCATGCTCTCTCCTGGAGCATTCCCACCACACAGAAAGCACAGGTGAGGCCAGCCTGAAATTTCAGAGAGGTAAACCATTGGGCTGATGAGAACTGTGACAGAAGTTAAGAGAACTAATCAGAAAAAAAAAAAAAGTGTACCTTGTTTGAAATGAAACTAATATTAGAAAGTCTGGCCTTAAAAAGGCTAAAACAGAGATATAAAAGGATTTACCCACATCTCTTTCAAGTAGCAAGTTTTCTCCAGATTCATTGCCAAAGTGAAGCATCTCTGCCTTGAAGAAAATATCAAAGAACAAATTTAAAAGCAGGCACACGACAGTCTGGCAATTCTATCACTCAACACATAGAATATAATATATATGTGGTCTCTCTCTTTTTTATTCTTTTTTAGATATACATGACAGTAGAGTATATTTTGACATATCATACATACATGGAGTATAACTTCCCATTCTTGTGGTTGTACATAATGTGGAGTTACACTGGTTGTATATTCATATATGAACATAGGAAAGTTATGTCCCCACCCTTCCTCCCTTCCCTTCATTACGTGTTCTCTTTAAATTGGCATGCTCAACCCCAAATAAGAGAGTTCACAATAAAAAATTAAAGGAGCATCATTAATTATAAGACTCTTACAATAATAGCAGCAACTGATATTGTTATTCTTCATAATTACCAAAACTGCCAAAGCATTATTCCAACCACTGTTTTTAAACCATTCTTCACTCATATTAATAGTGAAAATGGACTTCCCTGTGTAACATTTCTGCTTTGGTTCTGTTCAGAGTGAGTAAGAAAAATCTCAAGTGTGATTCATCTTTAGTAAGCCTACTTTTCCAGTTAGAAAACAAAACCGTTGACTACCAAAGATCAAATCTTTCCATTTAAAAAAAAATCATTTATTTATGTGCCATTACCCTTTCTGAGAGTTCTCCAGCTCTTCAAATACAATGTGATAACTTGGATTAAAGAACACTGTGTGCCAGGAAGCTGGCACAAATGCAAGTATAATTTCAATAGTGCTTCATTACCCAACTACTGCTGAGTTTGACCTTCTTTGGATTTAAAAATCAACCAGAATATAATATTTTTCATCTAGAATCATAACATTCTTACTCCTCCCACCTCTACCCATTAAAAAAGCTTTTTAAAGAACTCTTTATGTAGAGTGGGGGAGAAATGCCCAATATTTCATGACAATATAAAATATTCCAAGACACAAGAAAATGATGGAAGTTAACCAATTTTATAGTAACTCATAAATTTGGATTTAAACTTATATTACATGTTTCCTCCCTTCTTAGGTCATTGTCCACTTTAATTTTTATAATTCATCTATAAACAATAAATTATAACATTTATAAACTTATAATATTGGCAAAAATAACAAGAACTAACATGGTTTATCAGGCATGATAACAAATACCAAGAACAGTTAAAACAAAGTCAAATTTGGCCAAGCCTCATGGAGATTATAATATGGGAACAGAAATTTGTGATTATTGTGTCCACTTAGTAGTTGAAGAACTACAGACTTAGATGAGCAATAGATTGCCTAAGAATGTCTAACTAGTAATAGAATTTGAACCAGGTCTATCTGCCTCTAAAACCTAGGTTCCTCTAACAACCAACTAAACCAAAGAGCTGGAGAAATTGTAAAGGTGACAGTAGAGACATTCTTCAGGGTCCCAGACATATTTCAGTTGACTCAAATGAAGGCAGAAAAATATCCATGGTCATTCCAGGGTTAAGCCTTGCAAAGTCTCTTGAGAACTTTGGTGTTCTCTCAAAAGTCATACTTCAAAATAGTCTTCCAAGTCAAGGGTACCTCAAATGTACCTCCAGGGTACACAGGTAGCTGAGCCCACAGAGTTTTGCAGCTTTGAGCCCTAATGCACACAAAGTCCCTGGAGAGGAGCTCCCACCAGTGCTCTTTCTGTCTGATGCATTCAGGAAAAATTCTACCCAATGTCAGCCCTCTTAGCACAAGGCAAGAACTGCTTCATTCCCTTTTATTTTGCCTTCTTCAAAAGAAGCTCCTTGGACCTCAGTCCTCATTCATACATACTGAATGCTCAATTCCTTTTTCACAGTATAATAACTTCTTCTGTGAATTCTCTGTCACTATTCTATTTCAGATATCCCTGCAGATAATAAAGTGACCCAATGTGCAAAGCTGAAACATACAGGGGTTGACTGGAATGAGCCACTAAACAAATAATCCTTCATAGTATTCACATACTTTTGAAATCAAGTGACCTTATTTCCTGACACATTCTACTGGATGGGGAAAATCAGTTATGCTATTTTATTCTTTTGAAATCAGGCTGTGGAGGCTAACACTGAATTCCATTAGAAGGAATGAGAAAGCAAGTCCTGGAGCTGTTTGAAGGGAATTTTGTTGGTCAAAATGATTAAAAATGCTCAAACTTTGTCAAAGACAATGTCAACATCTTTCTAAATGAAGAAGAAAACAAGTATTAAATAGAAACTACGTGGCTCATTTCACGAGTGGGAGACACTAACCTATATCCACCCTAAACACCCATTTTATTTTATTTACATATATATATATATATATACACATACATATATTTATTCCTTTTAGATATACATGAAAGTAGAGTGTATTTTGACATATCATACATACATGGAGTATAACTTATTCCAATTAGGATCCCATTCTTGCAGTTGTACATGATGTGGAGTTTCACTGGTCATATATTCATATACCAACATAGAAAATTTATGTCCAGTTCATTCTGTCATCTTTCCTACTCCCACCCCTTCTCCCTCTTTATTCTCCTTTGTCTAATCCAATGAACTTCTCTTCCTCTGTCCCCATCCCTTATTATGTGTTAGCATCCATATATCAGAGAGAACACTCCACCTTTGGTTTTTTGGGATTGGCTTATTTTACCTAGCATGATATTCTCCAGTTCCATCCATTTATCAGCAAATGCTATAATTTCATTATTCTTTATGGCTGCGCTTTTTTTTTCATTGTGTGTGTGTGTGTGTGTGTTCACACACACACACACACACACACACACACACACACACACACATACCACATTTTCTTTATTCATTCATCATCTGTTGTAGGGAACCTAGTCTGGTTCCATAGCTTGGCTATTGTGAATTGAACTGCTATAAACATTGATGTGGCTGCATCACTGTAGTATGTTGATTTTGAGTCCTTTAGGTATAAACCGAGGAGTGGGATAACTGAGTCAAATGGTGGTTCCATTCCAAGTTTTATGAGGAATCTCCATACTGCTTTCCAGAGTGGTTGCACCAATTTGCAGTCCCATCAACAATGTATGAGTGAACCTTTTTCCCCGCATTCTTGCTAACATTTATCATTAATTGTATTTTGGATAATTGCTATTATAACTGGAGTGAAATGGAATCTCAGTGTAGTTTTAATTTGCATTTCTCTAGTTGCTAGAGATGTTGAACATTTTTCCATATATTTGTTTACTGTTCATATTTCTTCTTCAATGAAGTACCTATTCAGTTCCCAATTATTGATTGGGCTATTTGGCGGGGGGTGGTGTTAAGTTTTTTGATTCTTTGTATATCCTGGAGATTAATGCTCTATCTGAGGTGCAGGTGGCAAAGATTTTCCGAAGGCTCTCTCTTTACATTCTTGATTATTTCCTTTGCTGTGAAGAAGCTTTTTAGTTTGATACCATCCCATTTATTGATTCTTGATTTTACTTCTTGCACTTTAGGAGTCTTGTTGAGGAAGTTGGTTCCTAAGCCTACGTGATGGAGATTTGGACCTACTTTTTTCTTCTATTAGATGCAAGTTCTCTGGTCTAATACCTAAGTCCTTGATCTACTTTGAGTTGAGTTCTGTGCAGGGCTAAACACCCTTTAAAAGGGAATGTTTTCTAGCCTTTCTTCTCCACTTAAAATAGCCCTGGATATCACACTTTGCTTGACTGAGATGTGCAGGGGATTGAGAAGAGAAGAGGGCTCAGCCCAGCAGCCTGGAAGTAGATTCCAAAAGCTAACAAAATCCACTCACTTTTCATTTTCTACTCTAACTCTTCAACCAAGTCAATAAATACATGATAAGTTTGAATGTGGGTCATGGCCCTGCAAGACTTAGCCTGCCAAAGGATATTTTTTTAACTGAGTCTCAAAATGATCTTGATATTTCATCCACAATCTCAATAAAAATTGGTATTGGTGGCCCAACAGGGGCTTGAGACAGCCGGCTGATGATAAATCAGTCCTTTCCTATCCAGAGCATTGATGTTGTGTGAGTGGAGGGGTGCCAGCCGGCTGGCTTCTGGATAGGCGTCCTTGTCAGGGGCGGTAGGCTGCAAAGTCTCGTGCTGGGGCGTAGGGCTGGTAGTGTTTGCGGGTGGGCCCTGGCCTCCGGGGAGTCATGTTCATATAGTCACTCTGAAGAAGCCTGGTTCTTTGACGCTTCGTCTGCAGGAAAAAGAAGTGTTAATGTGGAAGGACATGGGGGAGATATTAGGAGAGGCGTTCTAAGATTTTGCAGGCACCTGTTGAGAATATTAACATTCAGATGTTGCTAAACACAAGCATTTCTTGAGCACCTGGGACTTAGACTAATCAAATCACTATTGGCTGTTCTAAATTAACTTGAAAAATCTCAATCAAAGAAAATATTTTAGAGAAATGTATCATATAGATATCACTCTTAAAGCTGTCATTTGACCTGAAGTGCAACAGTATATCTAAATAACCTATTTACTATTGATATTAATTAATCCATCTCTGAATGGATTAAGCATTACCATTGTAATCTTTTTACATTAGTCATTTGCTTAACAAGCCATATTTCCATAATCAACCAAAAAGGACCTTTAGCTCCTCCAGAGTGTGGAGTGAGTATAAATTCATAACAGTGAAGTCTAAATTAATGGAGATTTACAGTTCTGGATAACTAGTTACATTCCTGCACTTTTATGTGCCTGTATTTCTGTAAAGACAATCGGGTTACCCATCTCTTTTCCCAGGGCTCATCTTCCTCAGGAGGAACTCCTACCAGGGCTGAGGGGAAAAGGAAGGATCCTGAACCTGAAGCAAGAGTTACATGCACCATGAATCTCAGCAAAATTTTTGTCCCAGGGCGAGGACCATCATTTGTATATCAATACAATGATAAAATGTACAGTTTTGACCAAAGTCCCATAGGTATTCTAAAATTAGAAAAACATCTGGATTTCTGAATTCATAATTCTCTATTATGGAAAAAGAATGCCTATTTCCTGGCACACAAGGTGATGCCTAAGTAGATACACTGGACATGAATGAAAAGAATCCTGAATAAGCACATAAGTAAATGACTTCAGTCCTGATCTCATTTCCGTGCTCTCCTCCCTGACCCCTTCACAACTTCCTTGTGGCAGGGACACCGAATGCTAGAGAAAGATTTCAAAAACACTGCTCTCCACATTACTAAGTGCAACTATCGTGTTCAGCCCTCATCCTCTTCAACTCTCAGCACCATCCTACACAGCCCTCCGAATCCCTGGGTTCTCCATCCATGGATTCAACAAAACACAGATGGAAAATATTTTTAAATAATTTTTTTCTTAAAAAAATTAAAACTTTTTTAATTTTTAAAATTCTAAATAATTTTTAGAAATATTATTTTTAGGGCTGGGGTTGTAGCTCAGTGGTAGAGTGCTTGCCTAGCACACATGAGGCACTGGGTTTGAGCCTCAGGACCACATAAAAATAAAATAAAGCTATTGTGTCCACCTGCAACTAAATATATATATATATATATATATATATATATATATATATATATATATATATATTTAAAACATTATTTTAAATATTTTTGAATAATTTTTTTAATTAAAGAATTTTTTTCATTCTTCCTTAAACCACACAACTATATACAGAGCATTTACATTGTTTTAGGTATTATAAGTCTAGAGAGTATTTAAAGTACACAGGAAGATGTGCATAAGTTATATGCAAATATCATTCTATTTTATATAAGGGATTCAAGCATCCATGGATTTTTACATTTGAGGGTGTTCTGGAACCAATTCCATATGGACACCAAAGATGACTATACTGTTGATAGCTCTCTCCTTTTTGAAACACCTCCTCTTTGTCTTCTGTGACATCCTGGTATCCATCCTACCTTGCTGGTCACTCCTTCTGTGCTTCTTTTGCCATTCAATGTTAGAATTTCTCACTGCTTGATCCTTGACCTTCTCTATTCCCTCTATCCTCTCTCCCTAGGCAATCTCATTCACGTTCCAGATACAGTTGGCACCTTAGGACTAGACCCCAAGGGCACTCTACACTCAACCTGTTCAAAATAAAACTCAAGATCTTCCCTCAAAATCTCTCTCTCTCCCAGTGTTTCTCATATCAGTAAATGACAGTTGCCCAAGCCAGACCTCCTAGGCCTTATCCTTGACGTCTTGCACTCCCTTATTACCTGTCCCAGGAAACATTTGGAAAAGTGTGAAGATGTTTTTGATTGTCACAATGGAAAGGGACACTACTGGCATCTAGTGAGTAGATGCCAGAGATGCTGCTAAACATCCTGTACAGGGCAGCCAATAAAGAATTATCTAGCACAAAACATCCCTAGTGCCAAGACTGGAAAATCCTGACCTAAACAGTCTGATCATGAAAAAAAATGGAATGACAGAAAGTAATGGATATAAAATATATCATCAAATAAGAAAGAATATTATTAAACTGCTTGACTCCTCCTTACTCAAACCCAAAGGTGATGATGATTTGAGCCTAGTTGACCCCCCATAGATATAAAGCAAGACAATAGGAGAAGTAGATTGGAAAAAGAAGGTTACAAATTCAGCTCTGGCTATTTTAGATTTGAGATAATGGATGAGCTATCTGGCTGGATCTAAGAAGAGAGAAGAACATAATACATACATAATATAGGGAGATTCGTTCGGATAGAGATACACATGGAAGCCAAGCATCTGAATGATGTTGCTCTTCAATATCACTTACTTCTACATCCTTACTAGAAATAAAAGACTAGAACTCTCTTCATAGAGTTACAGCAGGGCAGTGGCGAGATCAAGGAAATGTTGGCATCCAAATAAATATAGAAGGCTACTGCTTCTGATACCTAGGAAGCATTTTTCATGCTTACTCCAAAACCTTTGCTGAACTCCCAAGTGACCGCCCTTGTCTCTGACACCTGAACAAAACTATAGACAGTAGAGGGAACCCCAATAATAAAGATGTCTTCTGAGGTACTCCAGAGTTCACACAAAAATAATGTAAGATCTGCTGCATCTGGTTCCCATCCTTACCCTCAAACAATTACCAAATAGTGGATTTAGTTAATGTCATCCTGACTCTAAACACAACAGCAGGATGGGAATGACAGGCACGTGGATGGGAATACTATCCAGAACCCACAGTGCCCATGTGCATCTAGCACATGACCAGAGGACCGACCTAATGTGTCTGTGTGTTTGTGGCATCGATTCCACCCCTTAACTAATGTCTATGAAAGATGTCTCATTTCAGGATCACTTGCTCTTTGCCCTTCGCCCTTCCCTCCACCTCTGCCTTAGCCACCTGTTTTCTGGGAGGAGCAGCAACACATAGGGCATGTGTAAAGCAATCTATTCAAAGAATCAGTCTTCAAGAATTTACTGTGGGGCTGGGGTTGTGGCTCAGTGGTAGAGTGCTTGCCTAGCATGTGTGAGGCACTGGGATCGATTCTCAGCACCACATATAAATAAATAAAGGTCCATCAATAACTAATAAAATATTTTTTAAAAAAGAATTTACTGGACTTAAAGGCAGATATTATCTGTACACATGCTATTCATGTTCTCCACATTACAGTCCACAGTAGAGAGGACATGTGTTTTTTTGTTTGTTTGTTTGTCTATTTGTTTTCAAAAAGCCTCTTTAGGAAAAGGAACAGGTTTACCCAGCTCAGCTGCATGAATGGAGAATTGAATGAGAGCAACAGGTGCTGGCCCATGGCAGCCTGACCAAGAGAAGCTTTTTATTTACTCAAGTGTCAACATCAGGTCAAGAACAGAGATAGACTCTACAGCTGCTCCCAAAAACCCACTCAGCCTAGAACTGCCTACAGTAGCACATCAAGGGCCCTCAGGAAGTTCCAGAAAACAGAAACTTTCACCAAGGTCTACTATAGGACCAGCCAAAAATAGGATCCCAGAAAATCACCCAGGAAATGGATCAATTTCCAGTTTCCTGATGGCCTCCATGCCTAGCTCGTTGCTTAAACAGCAGTAACAAGAAAAGACTTGATCCTGGTAAAAATGCCAAGTTATTCTATTAAGCAGAGGTATATTTTGATTTACATTCTATGTTCAGAGAATCCAAAGACCTAGGTTTGAGATGATAATAAAGGATTTCTTACTGGAAAATTTGATTTGACTACAAGAGACCACAAGGAATGCCAAGCACTAAGACTGTCCAATCCACAGGGAGCTTGTGAGATAGAGGGAGACAAAGTATGCTTTTTCAAGACAAATAAGATGAACCCCACTGTAAATTAGTAGTTTTGCCCAAGAAAAACCCAGAGCATCTATGCTATGTCTGAGCTGAAAGCGAGATGTTTAAACTCACTGAAAATGAGAAGCTATATTTGTTCTTTTGGGTGATTCCAGTCACTCAACAAATTAGTGCCTCATTTTAGTAACTGACAGTCTAATGCATATTTACAATAAGGTCTAAAAGATGAATAGTACCCTTTTGGTCCTAAAAAGTTAGGGCCAAATTAGTAAATTAGTAAATTACTTTGAGCTAGGTCAGCATGTCTTAGGGAGGCCTTTCCTGGAGGGGTGTGCCTGGCCTTTAAGTTAGGAAGTTGAGATTCCCAATGAAAGAATTGGAACGCCATACAGTGGACCTAAAAGTCAATGGCCAGGAATTCAGAAAAAAAAAAAATAACTAAGAATTCTAAAAATTCCAAAATCATTGGCAATCACCACAGAGGATTAAAATGGGAAGATACCTGGGATAAAGACCCCATGATCTGGAAAGATGAAAATACTTGACTAACATCAGAGGCAGAACTTAGGCAATAGTTTACTATATTAAAACCCCCTCCCTCACCCCATCAGGATAGAGCAAGTTGCAAAAGGCAAGCCAGGCTAATTCCCAAAATGGTATCTAGTACAAAGAATTCCCAGGAACAAGCAGCAACTTTGTCCCCTGCCCTGCAGAAGGTACAGATCAGGCCATAGGCAGCTTGATGAATGTTCATCTGTCCCCTAGGGTCTTCTGAACTGTGAGGAATGCTTGGAGAATAATTGATGGGCCAACTTTGACTAGAGACCAACATGAGTTTAAAAGGCTCTAAGACTGGATGAAGAAGAGCATAATTCTGAATGCAAGACCTTCCATCCCCACACCAAGGAAAAGTAAACAGACTCCATGTGGCCTGGCTTCTAGAAATCACAGACCATCTGTGGCTTAATTAAATCAATGGATTATGCCTCAGAGATGAGTATCACATGTTAGGTAGGCTTATTTAAGTCCTCAATTTGGCCTTTATAAGGATTATTCATTTATCCCAATATCTAATAACCCAGTAAGCATTCATCAAGCATTAAATGTACTTAATACCAGATAAACTGAGAATAACAAGAGAAACGGTCCTTTATCCTAGAGAGGCCTGCATTTCTCATTGAATAAATGGCTCATATATGCATTTAACTTCTAGAAAAACATGTGAAAACCACACAAAATCAATACCTGAGCCATCTGTAATAAGAAGAAGGTGTCTAAGGAAGAGATCCTTGTTAAGGAGGTCCCTTCTCAATGGTGGATATGTTCATTAAAATGTGTTCAAACCTGGGCCAAAAATTCAACATTGAAGAAGGTAAAGAACAATATACCAAGTTCATCACCTGAGCCTTTGCAAAAATTGATCAACTCCAATTCAGTGGTGAGAGCTCAGAAAAGTCTGACTCCCATTGTAGTTTCATAATGACAACCCCATGCTTGGCCTCACACCATTCAACTGCTTCAGAGGAGACAAAAAAAATATGACTCAGATAAACAGACCTAGTTTCTTCTAGGTTTGAATACACAATTTCAGTAGCCAAGTTTCTCATGATTTTTAAACCTGAACCAAAGCTCTCCCTTTGCTTCAGTTGCCTAATTTCCTGAGTTGTCTAGATTTTTGAACCTTATATATGTTAAAGCTGTTGTGTGTATCACAATTAAATTGCAAACTGGGAAGAAGAAAGATAACTGTTGCTAATCCCACCCCACCCCTATTTGCCCATTTGGTTTCTTATTCTACCTGGCCACCTACACAGTGCCTTCTGGAAAATAAAAGATAAAGTTGAACAAGATGAAAAGAGAACCTATGTAAGCCTAGCGGGAAAAGAAAATTATAATAATCACATGGTTAACAGAAAATAAATCACATAGGCAAAATTCTTAATATGTTCAGATTGCATGTGTAGTAGAAAAGTTCCATAAAAGCAGCGCAGCATCTCTTACCCATAAATAACAAAGGAGCATTGTTGATAGCAAGCTATAGATACCCAGGACTCCGCTAAGCACCACCAGTGTCCAAAAGGGCTTAGGAGACTCAGGAGATGGGACACCAGGACAAATATTATTCTCTGAAAAATAGAATAGAGTGGATTAAATGATACAGGAATAGCAGTTGAGTATATTTCCTTTCTTCTGAATATTAGAGAAGAATGCGAAAGAGAGAAAAATAAGCAAAACATCATGAACTTAGAATGTGTAGTCTTCATCTTTGGGATTTATCCAACCTCACCACTGACCAGAATGGTCCATTTTCAAGATTGAAGTTAGGGTAGTACACTGGTACAACTGCATTCACCTGATTTTGTTGAACTCACTTTGTGATTCAAAATAGTGACTTCCAATGGTCTTAATCCAATTCCATACCCTACCCCCATGAGAAGCCAGTTTATCCAGATCCTAAGCTATATTTTTGGAATAAGTTAAATAATATACATGTTTTCAAACCTTAAGAAAATTATCAATCTAGTATGGCAAAAATCTGGGCTGGTAATACAAAGATAAATGTCTAGCTTCAACTCTAACAGCTTATGTTGTGGTGAAAAAGTCACTTTATACCATCAGGTATCCAAACATGGGAAGGAATGTGTAGAGTTCTAGTAAAAATTGGAGACAATTAGAATTGGAAAGAACAACAAAAACTATCTAGTGTATTGATTTTTTAATTCGAGATGCACATTAGGATTGTCTGAGAAAGTCTGAAAATATAACAATATCTAACACCCCTTCCTCAACTCATTCCAATTACATCAGACTCTCAAAGTTGGGCCTAGGAATGGGTTTTTTGTTTGTTTGTTTGTTTGTTTACCCTAAACCTACTCATATTTATAATATGCAAGTAGATTTGAAGATTACTAAGGATCACTGGTGTCCTTTCCATTTCTGCTAGAAATGATATACTATGTGCATAAGTGTGTGTGTGTGTGTGTGTGTGTGTGTGTGTGTGTGAAGTACTATCCTAAAGTAGAATATCATTTACATAAGAAAAACATTTGCTCTTCACTTCAAACCAATAGTTTGGTTGGGTCAAGTTAAAGCATATTTTCTTAAGCTTTAACTTGACCCAACCAAACTATTCAGCCTGGACATCATAGAAATTAGATATCTGAATGGAATTCAGCAAGCCAAACATTCTCACATTAATTGCCTCTATTTTTCAAGAACACAAAATTATTCTCCCAAATTAAGTTAATTGTTCTTTTCTTGTTTAATATTTGATTTTTCTCTAGCATACCTCTGTTTAGCATAGGAGAAAAAACATTTATTGTAATTATGTTAGTATTAAATATAAAACTGAGCATACATTTTTTAATTATTGTTCTACCAAAAGGAAATAGTGTATCCACAAAGACTACCAAAATTTTTTTTTTATCTAGCCACTCTCATTTTTATGTGTTGATACCAATAAACTGTATTCTTCTGAGTTGGGGGGTGTTCTACCCAATATTTGGAGAGAACATAATCTCAACATCAGATCAATAGACTTATTTCCACTAATTCATGAATATTGTTTAATAATATTAAGTTTTGGGCATTGAAAAAGTATGGCAACTTATCAAGATCACTGAGTTAGTTAATAGCAGATTTTATATCCCCTGGTTTCTAGCCCAGCATCCTTTGTATGTTTTGGAAAATGAAAAAAGTACTTAACGGAGGAAGACTGTGGAGTAGAAAGATGATTAGTTTGAATTATAACCCACTCTTCCTGAGTTCTGATCCATTAGGCCCAGCTGCTTCTTGGAGTTCACTTAGACTTATATTTTAATAGCAAAATTTTTATTCTGTCATGACCCACTCAAATTGAGAATAATCTTCATGTTCCCATGGGCTATAACTTCATCACTCACTCTCCCACTCCATGTCACTGAGTAAAGATATTCAAAATATAACTTTGAATCTTTTCTAAAGTAAAGGAAAACTTTTTAAAAATGACTTGTCTTTACTAAATCACTGGGGACTACTCCAGCCTCACCACTGATCCTATCTCATTTTCAAGACTATAGCTTAAACTTGCGACTTTACGGTGGTAGGAGGATAGAGTTGCATCTTACCTTTCACATGGATAACAGTTCCATTGCTCTTCTCATTGTCTAGGTAAGGAGGAGGATACATAACCTCAATTTTGCAGAAGTAAATATCTGTTTGGTTAACATACAAATTCCGGAGATAGAAAGTCACTGTTTCGTTGCCCAATTTCCCATCACAGTTGAATCCTGTGTGTGAGTAAAACTGAAGCTGATGGGAGAAATTCCCATTCACAACGCAGACTTCCACAGCACTATCCACACCCTTATAAAGGGATGCCCGGAACTCCTTTGAGAAGAGGTTGTAGGTATACTTGCAGCTAAGGTTGACCTCATTGTTGTACACCTCAAGCCTGGGTGATTGCTTCACCAAGATCTTGTTTTCTAGAGAGGGGAAAAAAATCATTTGCTTAGACCAGGAGTATAAGAATATGTTTTTCCTGAAATCAAAGTGTATTAATTAACCAAATGAACAGATCTCCTGCAAAAGCTTTCTCAAGGTAGATGAAGATTCAGGAGCTCTTAGAATGAGAATTATACCTAGAGTTTTAAAGTTCACATTTTGATCATGTTTTCATCCTCCTGTAAATGGGACATCAGAGCATGTTTTCACCTAGAAGGCAAAACCTGGCCTTCTGTTAGCATTGAGCATCACAGCTATGCCCTTGGAATTTGTGAATCTGTGTTGAGATTCCTAAGATATTAATCATGCATTGGGCTGATTTCTTGATTAAGTGATATTTTTGGAAGCAGCTTTAAAGTCTGACACATTAGCACAAATGGATGTATTTTTAAGTTGTGAGACAGGTTTTTGTGAAGGAATTAAAAGTTTTGAGACATTTTAGTTTTTTATTGGTCATTCCAATGCCTAATAGCTTTTTGTTTCCTATGTAGTTATCAATACTGATGTGCATACAGAACTTTAAAAAGTAAACCTATGTCTAGGTCCCTCCACTCCCAGATATTCTGATTTAACAGGGTCTAGGCTAGAGTGGGGGGTGGGGGCTATTAGGCTTAGGGTGGTTGGTAGCAACTTTTTTGAGATATAATTCTTGTATTATAAGATTCATCCTTTCAAAGTATACAGTTCAGTGGTTTCTTAGGATAGTCACAAAAATGTGTATAGATCACCATATGATTCCAGAATATTTTCATTATCCCCCAAAGAAACTTCCTATTCATTAGCAATCATTCTGAATTCCTCCCTCCTTCCAACCTCTGGCAACCACTAATTTTCTTCACTAATCTACTTTCTGTCCCTACGTATTTGCCTGTTGAGCACATTTCACATCAATGAAATCATACAATATGTAGTCTTTTATATCTGGCTTCTTTCACTTAGCATGCTTTCAAGATTCTCCCAGGTTGTAAAATGTATCAGAATTTCATTAATTTTATGGCTAAGATTCTATATATACAGTATATATACACAGTGGAATCTTAGCCACAAATTTTCATATATTTTGTTTTTCCATATGTGTGTTTGTGTGTGTGTGTGTGTGTGTGTGTGTGTGTGTGTGTGTGTATACACACTAGGGATTGAATTTAGGGCCTCTTGCATACTAGGCAAGCACTCTGCCACTGAGCCACATTCCCAGCCCGACTTTTTGGCTATTATGAATAACACTACTGTGAACATTTGTGCAGACATATTCTTTTAATATGGGTATGTTTTCAATTCTCTTAGGTGTATACCAAGGGTGAAATTGCTGGATCATATTGTAAGTCTATACTTAACCCTTTGAGGACTTGCCAAATTGTTTTCCAAGCAACTACACCATTTCACATTCCCACTGGCAAAGCATATAGGCTCGAGTTTCTCTGCACCCTCTCTAACACTTGTTGTCCCTCTTTTCTATAACAGTCATCCTACTGTGTATGAAGTAGTACCTCATCATGATTTTGTTTGCATTTCTCTCATGGCTAATGATGTGGAGCATATTTTCATGTGCTTGTTAGCCATTTGTAATACCTTGTTTAAAATGTCTATTCAGATCATTTTCCCACTTATTAATGGGTTTGTTTTTTTATTGCTGAATTATCAGAGTTATTTTATATTTTTGAAACAAGTTCCTTATCAGATACTCTGTGATTTGCAAATGTTGTCTCCCATTCTCTGTGTTGTCTTTGGTATTGTCTTTAAAGTCCCCCTCGCCATGGATTCTAACATTCAGTTGGGATTGAAAACCACTATGGCCAAACAGATTTTTCAAGCTGACTACCTAAGAGAATCATTGGAGAAATGTTAAAATCCCTGATTGCCAGGACAATTAAATCAGCATCTCTAGGTATAAAACCATGGCATTAGCATTTTAAAGTATCTCAGGTGATTCTAAATTGCAGTCAAGTTTGAGAAGCACTAGGCTCACAGATGGAAACTTCTTATCCTCAAATTTGCAGGTCTCCACAGGCTTTTCCAATTTCATTTTCTCAAATCAAAACCCTCCTAATTAGCCAAACCCTTTAAGTCAACATCCCAGAAACACACGGTGAGGATGATCTTTCCTACTTTATCCGATGACTCCATGGAGGACAGTACCATTTCCTTTTCAGGTATCAAGACAATCACTGCATCGCTCCTATGCCATTGGGACAGGTTTTCATCTTTTGAACACTTTCTTTTTTCATATGTTTCCATTCAATAGCTTTTTCTGATCCATGTGAATTTCCTGTAGGCCCTGGTTTCCAAGCTTCTTGACAGCAAGGACCATGTTACCCTTCTTCACAGAACACGGGGAGACTAGTAGGATCTCATTAGATAATTGTTGAGAGACGCTGATCTCGCTATATTATTCCTATCCTCAGGGGAGTCTCACTACCATTTTATTAAATCCTTGTTGGAAACCAGTGTCTAAACATCTTCAGCTTCACGTACCATTCATTCAACAATACTCTGTAAAAGCACTGCGAAGTAAACACATGAGTAATCTTAAAAGTTCTGCCTTAGTTTGAACAACCAATAAAAAAAGAAAAAGAAAAGAAAAACAAAAAAACAAAACAAAACAAAACAAAGTTCTGCCTTAGTCTGAAAAATCCAACTTGTTTCTTTGTTTTTATTCATTGGGCTTTTTTCTTTGTTTACCTAGAAGGAATCTTTGGGCCAGTTCTGATTGGAAGGGCTCAAAATGGCAGTGTATTCCCTCCTTTTGAGAGAGTACAATTAGGCATTTGTCTTTTTGTTTACTAAGCCCTCTGGAAAGTGTTTGTGTTGCTAACTATTTGGATTCTGTTTTAATGGGTCTTCAGATTTCTTCTGATCTCCCTGTGACAGCAGACATAGGGAAAAGATGAGAACAGGACTTCTTTGTAGGAATAAAAAAAAAATAAAATGGAGCTGTGGGCAGGGAAACTGAGTGAGGCTAGAGAGAAACCCCAGATGGTTACCCAGTTTGGCTTCCTCATTCCAACACCCAACAATGAGGTGCAGAGAGGGAGAGAGGGGGAGAAAAAAGGGAAAGCTTTGCCATGCAGATTCCAGTTTGCTTAGTGTGTCTTGTCTAATTCAGGGTGTGACATCTTCCCAAGACACACACAGGAGATAAAAATTCATTCCCCAAAAATGAACTTCTTGGGTAGCTCACAATCTGGAGGGGAAGAAAGATGTACAAACAGATAGCTAATTTTAAAATAGTGGCATAATGATCTGCAGTTTCTGGGGGTAACTGAGGATCTCTACAGAAGATGACCACTGACTGGCCTGAGATGTGAAGGATGATGCATATATTTGTTTGACAAAAGTTTACCAACCTATCGTGGCTAAGATATGCCTTGTATGGGGCTTGGCATAAAGTGGAAGAGTGTGTGTTGAGGTTGAAGGTGAGTTAGGGAACTGTGGGGAAGATAAGACAAAGAGGAAAAGAGAGCAGTCTACGCAAAGATCATAAGGAGGTGAGAATGGGCATAGCAGATGTAGGGAATTATAGCTATCTCAGTTTTGCTGGATCTTGGGTTGTAAAAGACAAGATTGGCAAAGCAACTAGAGTTCACCATGTTAGAGAGCTTGGGCCCTCTCCTGCAGTAATGGGAACTTACTGAAGGTTTTTAAGCAGAAAAGTGAATGAATGCTCACAACTTTTCATTTTATATAGATCACTTTAGCAAGGATAGGGCACATGAATTTGGAGGATACAAGAGTAAAACTGTGGAGTCCAGTTAGGATACAGTCGTAGTCTAGGCAAGAGGTGAAAGGGACTATATTTCCATATGGTTTGAAAGAAGTGGATGAAGTTAAGAAATAATTACAGGCTAACATTTGCAAAACTTGACATTGACCTAAATGTGGTAAGAGAAAAGGAGTTAAAAATGACTTCCTTAGACAACACAGACAACCAGCAGCCTGTTAAGGCCTAAGCCTGTTAGGCCTCAGCATAACAAATTTATAACTTTCTTAGGCAGGAGAAATTCAGGACCCCTTTAGTGAAGCTGGCCATTACATATTCAATACCATCTTGGTGGTTGGAATATCCAGCAACTGAATGAGAATGGGAAAGTATTTAATTTTGTGACTCTTTCTGCTAAGATTTTGTTAGGAAAGTATTTGAAAACTATTGGTTATAAGGGCATTTGATGATGTAAAGGAGACATCTAATTTATCTGTCAATATTTACTTTCCTCTCTCTTCTGTGTCAACACAGATCATTTTTAAATTAGTTGACTTTATACATAGGTACTGAACTTGAAATAGTTTACTTATCTATGTTATCTGTAGCTGATAGCCTCCTAATTTAGAGTTCAGGTTGGGTTGATAAACTTCTTGTTTTTCACTATTTATATCCTTTTAGCACTTGATCCCAATTATTTTTTATCAATAATTCAGAAAAGATTAAGTAAGAAACTATAGCATAGGACCTCAAAATCTATATCTGCTTTGGAGGACACTGAATGAAAGAGATTAATGTTTGGTGAAAACCAGTTTCTTTAAGTGACATTGAATAGATGTGATTATTATGAATTCCAGTAGACACAATAACTCTGATTCCTCTTATTTTCTCTTAAAATGGAGCATGTGTGAAAATATATACCCTTCACTCTATGGGAGTGGAATATAAAGACACAGATAAAACAAGGCAACTGATAACCAGAACAATTGATATTTGACCAGGATATGTATTTTTATTCTCTGAGTTTCTGGGAATCCATAGTACTTCAAATAATTCAAGGTCATATTATAAAATTTAAGGACCTATCTAGGCTCAGAAGAAACTAGAAAATAAATAGCTTCCCCATACTAACTTCTAATTCTTATCTACTTTCTGGATCATGATAGCAATGGAAAACACCCCTCTTAGCATGCTTTTGTGTTAGAAAACTCAGCCCTTTTTCAGGCAACCTCCATTTGGGTCAAATCTACTATGTTAAAAGAGAAATATTATCAACTAATCAATTTGTATTTGCTTCTGGCATCAA